ATCAAATTACCTTGGCTTTGAACTCATGGAACTGTCTGCTGCATTCACCTAGTTGATATTGTGCTATGATTTTTGTGAGTGTTCATTCTACTTTCCCCTGTGTTAAAACGTCTAACTTTACCAGATCAGAGAGTGTATTTTGTTTGTTTGTTTTTTACATTTATTGAGGTTTAATATGTGATTTGAATCTTGTATATTGGACAGAGAATGCATTTAAAGAAAAGACCAGTCTCTTTGTTGTGTCTGTTATAGTTAGGTAACTCACTATGTTGCTCAAGTCTTTTGTGCCCTATCTGATTGTTCTATCCATGATAGATGGTGGGTTTTGTTGGTTGGTTGGTTGGTGGGTTGGTTGATTGGTTGGTTGGTGGTGCTGGAGACCAAATTCAGTACACACTGGGCAAACAGTCCACCACTGAGCTGCACCTAAACAGAGTACCAGAATTTCTAGCTATTATTGAAGGAACATTTATCTGTGTTCCAATTCTTTCAGTATTTGCTTTAGATACATTGATGATTTATTATTAGATACAGTCACATATTTCTTTTGTGATAACTGCTGATCTTCAAGATAAATGTTTTCTTTAGGAGGCAAAGGTAGCAGAATTGAAAGTTCAAAGCCAGCCGTGGCTAGTGGCAAATACCCATAACCCCAGCACTTGGGGAAGGAGAGTTAGGTGTTCAAAGTCATTCTCAGCTAGCTACCAAAGTCAGTTTAGGTGACTTAAGATCCTGTCTCTTAACTAGACGTGGTGGAACAAGTCTTTAATCCCAGCACCCAGAAGGCAGAGGGATCTCTGAGTTCAAGGCCAGCCAGATCTACAAACAGCCAGGGCTACACAAAGAGAAGACTGTCTCAACAAAAGAAAACAAACAAAAACAAAACCCAGCCATAAGTCCTGAAAGCGTTGCTTATTCTCGTGTGCTTTGTAAACATGTCACCTGCTCAAAAGTTAGTGCCTTCTAATTTTCTACTGTGCAAGCAACATGAAGATTGTCCCCAGCTGTCCTCCTGTTCTTTCCTGTTTTACAATACTCTGTGAAAACAACTTAGAGGAAATCTGGAATGCTCAAAGGCAGTGGCAGTTGGGTCTGATGAAACACATCTATAGCCCTAGCTTGGCCAGAATGTGCAATGTCTTAGGTGCAATCCTGAGGACTGCAGAAACAAAAACAAACAAACTACAAGCTGGGCATCATTTTAGAATGTCCAGCTGGTGGACTGGAGAGATGGAATCAAAGGTTAAGAACACTGGCTGCTCTTCCAGCAGACCTGGGGTCAATTTCCAGCACCCACATACATGGCAACTCACAACTGTCTGTAACTCCAGTTCTAGGAATCTGACACCCTCACATCAAATGCAAATAAAATTAAATGTCAAGCTGTATCAACTCATATAATAGCCATGATCATGAGGACAGATCAAAATATGTTATGGTTTTCTCCAAAATTTGCCCATTAGAACTTAAATCTCAGGGTGATGGTGTTTAGAGGGGAAGCCTTCCAGAGATAACAGTCGGTCACTAACACTTTTTACAAACAAATCATCTTGGTAAAGATTTGAAAAACTAGAATTGTGTTTGGCATGGACTGAACAGCTATTTGGGACCTCTAGCCAAAGTAAGTAATAATTTATTTCAATCACATTAGATCATGCTTTATTATAAAGTTCAACTTTAGTTTTCTTTTATGTGTATGGGTGTTTTGCCTGCATATATATCTGTGCGCCACTTGTAATCTGGTGCTCAAGACCAGAAAAGGATATCAGATCCCCTAGAACTGGAGTCATATGTGATTATAGGCCACCATATAGCTTCTAGGAATTGAACCTAGGTCTCTAGAAGAGTAGTCAATGCTCTTAAGTGCTGAGACATCTCTCCACCCATGTCTTAAATAATGATGATGCCAATGTTATTCGGCAAAATGAATGTCCCAGAAGCCAGCAACATGAACTACAGGCTTTATGTAGTTGATAATAACAGATGCTAAATTGATGGTACTGTTTTTTTTGTTTTTTTTTTTAGATTTATGTGTACAAGTGCTTTGCTTACATGTATATATGTATGTGCACCACATGCATCCCTGGTGTCGAAGGGATCGGAAGAGGGCAGCAAGTTCAGTTGAACTGGACTTACTGATGGTCGTGAGCCACCATGTGGGTGCTGGGAACTAAACTTAGGCCTTCTGAAATGCAACAACTGTTGTTTTTTTTTTAAGACTTTTATTTTTTTATGTGCATTGGTGTTTTGCCTGCATGTAAGTCTGTGTGAAGATGCCAGATCATCTAGAACTGGAATTACACAGGTGTGAGTTACCATGGCTGGGAATTGAACCTAAGTCCTCTGGAAGAACAGCCAGTGCTTCCAACCGCTGAGCCATCTCTCCAGCGCCACAAGTGTTCTTAACCGCCGAGTCCCGATGGTATGTTTTCATGAATGGTTCCATAACCAAGGGCTGGGAGCCGGCTCATGGAATTCAGACAGCTTTCTTGGGCAGACAAGCAAATGAAGGAGCAGAGATCTGGAGGGCAGATAGAACGCATCCAGCAAGCCCACTAATACTTTCAAGAGTAGTTTATTGAAGGTGTCATGGTGTAGGCCTTTTAATTTCAGTACTCAGGAGAATGAAGCATGCGGATCAGTGAGTGTAATACCAGCCTGGTCCATATAACAAGTTCCAGGCCAGCCAGACCTACAGACTCCATCTCAAAAAAAAAAAAAAAACAAGAAAAGAAAGACATTGGAAGTTGGAAACCAGTGAAGCATAAAGCATAACTGTAGTAGAACATGTACTCAGCAATGCTTATGCCTAAGGTCCAGGGTTTAATCTCTAGCATCAACCCCTCCACCCAGAAAACATTAGGAGAATATATAAAAGTATAAAACAGCTAGAAGCTGGAGAGATGGTTTAGTGGTTAAGTATTCCTCTTCCAGAGGACCCAGGTTAAATTCTCAACATCCACATGTCAGCTCACAACTGTAACTCCAGAACTAGGGTATCCATCACCTTCTTCTGGGTTCTTCTGATACCAAGACATACAGGTAGACAAAACATCCACTCACATAGAATAAAGACACTCAGATCTCAAACACAAGGAAGTCAGTCTAAATTTTATAACTAAAAAATTAGCAGTGATAGTATTTGGATTCAATTCCTAGCACCCACATGGTGACTCACAAACATCCATAGGCACATAGAAAGTGCACATGCGTGTACACAGGAAAAACACACACATAAAAATAACTGGGGCTGGAGAGATGGCTCAGAGGTTAAGAGAACTGACTGCTGTTCAATTCTGGGTTCAATTCTCAACAACCACATGATGGCTCATACCCATCTATGATGAGATCTGGTGCTCAGAACACTATATACATAATAAATAATTTTTTTTTTTTTTTGGTTTTTCGAGACAGGGTTTCCCTGTAGCTTTGGAGCCTGTCCTGGAACTCTCTTTGTAGACTGGGCTGGCCTCGAACTCACAGAGATCCGCCTGCCTCTGCCTCCCGAGTGCTGGGATTAAAGGTGTGCGCCACCACCGCCCGGCTAATAAATAAATTTTAAAAAATTATTCTACTTCAAGGTTTTGTGAGCTGGCCACGATGGCACACACGTGTAATAGCGGCATCTGCATTGCAGAAGGCACAGATATTCAAGGTCATCTTTGACTACAGAGGTCAACTTGAACTGACCGAGACCACTTCAAAAGAAATTAACTTAAAAATGATCTGCAGCATGACTATTGTGCTAGATATTTGTAGAAAAAAAAATGATGTGCAGGATGGATGTGGTGGCTCACACCTTTAATCCTAGCACTTGGGAGGCAGAGGCAGGAGGATCTCTGTGAGTTTGAGACTAGCCTGGTCTACGTACTTTTCTCCAGGGCAGCACAGCTATACTACAAATAAAGATCTTGCTTCAAAGCACCCCTCTCCCCCCAAAAAACCCTGGTGTATAATAAAAACCATGATGTACACACTCAACACAAACATTTTAAGCCAGCAATGGTGGTTGATGCCTGCACTTGAAACACTTGGGAGGCTGAGCTAGGATCCTGACTCCCAGATCAAAGAGCTGGGACAAAACCTGATCTCCAAAGAACAAAGGAGGGTGGGGAGCAGGTGTGGTTGTACACACCTGTATTCCTAGCACTTGGGAGGTAGTGACAGGATTTCCAGAAGTTCAAGGCCATCCTCGGCTAAGCAGAGTTTGAGTGGAGGGAAGTCTAGCGCTGTGAACTGTACCCAGGGCTCAGGTTTGTTTTTTTTCCTATTTATTTATTTATTTATTATGTATACAATGTTCTGTCTGTGTGTGTACCTGCAGGCCAGAAAAGGGCACCAGACCTCATTACAGATGGTTGTGAGCCACCATGTGGTTGCTGGGAATTGAACTTAGGACCTTTGGAAGAGCAGGCAATGCTCTTAACCACTGAGCCATCTCTCCAGCCCCAGGGCTCAGGTTAAACAAACACTTTGCCACTGGGCTATATCTGCAACTGTTTTCGCATTTTTTTTTGGTTTTTTCGAGACAGGGTTTCTCTGTGGTTTTGGAGCCTGCCCTGGAACTAGCTCTTGTAGACCAGGCTGGTCTCGAACTCAAAAGAGATTCACCTGCCTCTGCCTCCCAAGTGCTGGGATTAAAGGCGTGCGCCACCATCGCCCGGCCGCATTTTTTAATTGAATGTGAGATCTGGCTAAGTTAGACACAAACTCATTCTGCAGCAAAGGCCAGGCTTGACCTTGGAGTCCTCAGCCCCTAGGTAGCTGGGATTACAGGCTTCAGGCACAGGATGGGCTTTATCCTATCACCAGGCAAGACCCCTAGCTGCTTTGGGCAAAACCAGGCCAGTCAAGTCCTTCCTAGGTAATTCACTCATTGTAGAATGTTGACTTCTGCTTAACCACTGTCTAGATGCCATCACAGTTCTAAGACTCGCTTTGTTAGCCCGATCTTTTAAAAACATTAGCTTCAAATACGAAAAGACAAAAAGAAGCAAAGAACAAGTTAAAATGAATGTTTAATGCGCCTGCAGGACGAGAGGTACAGCAGAATCAGAATTTGTGATCGACACTGATGTTGATGTTACATTTTTCAAAGAAGTTCCCTCTAGTTCCTTCTTTTCCAGGTTCCTTAGCACAATAACGACTCTTAAGTCTCAGCTCTCCACCGTGTTCGTCAGTAATTTCATCTTTCACACCTCATTCTGTACTGGACACTCAAGTACGAGAGCCCACAGGAACCAAAAGAATGCAAAGGCCCAAGGACGCCACGTTCTGAGTGTCTGCTCACACAAACCTTCTGTTTATTCTTATTAGTAGAAATGAAAGCTACTTTAATGAACAAGAAACTCAGGGTGAGGTCATTAAATATAACTACTTACACTTTAAATATAAATACACGTTCTTCCTGATCAGCATCAGGCAGATAGCTAAACTGCTTATCTATACTCCTGGTCTCAGAGAAAAAAGTCAAGAGACAAAGAAGGTGCTTCATATTATCGGGTCCATTTGAAAACAGCTGAGGGCTACAGGAAAACCACACTAGTTTTTCTTCTTCTCAGAGACCTCTGTTGCTCCTTTTGTGGGTAAGCCATTGACATCTGCACCCTAAAATGACAAAAAAGAAAATAAGAATTATTAGAAGGAAAAGAAACTGATTTTAAGAGACATTCTTTGTAAAAGCAGACAATAAACTTCAGAATGAAATGATTTTGCTTTCAGAATCACGCTGGTTAATTAAATCAACACAGTCGAACAAAGCCAATTTAACAGGCACCAATGCTGAAGACAAAAGCGGTCTAAATAGTTCCTTTCAAAACAGCCTTCACACTGGGCCCCAGATACGTAGCTCAGTGGTAGAGCGCTGATCTGGCAGGTTTCAATCCCCATATCAGGTGGGGGAAAGTAAGTTCCTCAATCAAAGCCATAGGCAAAAGGACAAACATGTTACTCAGAAGTCTGGTCTAAAATCTTCTGATTACTAAATTACTAAATAATTGAGACAAACAAATTAAAGCTAACAGTTCTAGCAGCTCAAGCTTCCAAAAGCCAAGGGTTACCCAGGTGCACCCTTCCACCGGCCTTTCCTCAGGCATTTGAAGGGTCTTACCTGGCAGTCTACTTTGCCTATATTTTTACCATTGGATTCTTGTACAGCCTTTTTAGGCCATATACGGCTGATGACGGGGGAAACCAGCGGGTAGATGTACGGCTCCAGGAACTTTTTGAAGATCCAGAGCAGAACTGGAATGACGACACAAGGAATGCACACCATTGTCCCGGGCTGGATGTCCGAAACTGCGGACAGAGAAGAACCAGCTCACTGTAGATTAGTGATAGAAAGGCTTTATGGAAAGTACTCTTCCTACAGGGGTGGGGGCATGGGCAAAACTATATGCTGAAGGCAAAGCTTTCTAAACCCAAATGCTGCTATCTGCCAGGTAAAGGAACAAGTGAGCAAACATGAACAGCTGAGCTGGATGCCAGCATCCAATTCCAATCACTTTTACTGCCTCAAAGATCTCACGACAAAAGGACAGTTGGGTGGATAAAGGTGCCTGTCTCCAAGCCCGACAACAAATACCCAGAACCAAAACAGGAAAGACAAAACCAACTTCAGTTACTTTGACCTCTAACATCCACAGGCTCACCATGGCATGGGTATGCCTACATGATAAATAAAAATGCAATCAAAGAACTTTTAAGCATTCTGACAGTATGTGCTATGCACTTTATGTCTATGCAAGTTGTCCCCTGACCTCAACACAGCACAATGGAGTGGCTCCCTCTCCCATGCACACATATACAAAAAAAAAGTAAATACTAATAAAAAAATATATATATAGCCAGATATGGTTGTACCGGTCTTTAATTCCAGCATTTGAGGCCTATGAGCTGGAGGCCAGCCTGATCTACCTAGAGAGTTCTAAGACAGTCATCAGGACTACATAGTAAGAAGGGATTTGCTTTTGCTTGGCTTTTTTTCTAAAGGAAAACAATATTATTTATACTCAAATATGGGGTGCACTCAGTGTGAATTATATCAGGAACTACAATGGGCCAGGTAGTTGTGGCACAAGCCTTAAATCCCAGGAAGAGGTGAGTGGGTCTCCATGAGTTCGAGGCCAGCTTGGTCTACAAGAGCAAGTTCCAGGACAGGATCCAAAGCTACAGAGAAACCCTGCCTCGAAAAATAAAAAATAAATAAAAGAGAGAGAGAGAGAGAGAGAATATGCCTCGATAAGATCAGGCTGTAGACAAGCCTGTAGACTTCATTAATTAGCAATTGGTGGGGGAGGGCCCAGTCCATTGTGAGTGGTGCCATCCCTGGAATGGTGGCCCTGGGTTCTATAATTTAAAGCAGGCTGGCAAGCCATGAGGAACAAGTCAGTAAACGGCACCCCTCCATGGCCTCTGCATCAGCTCCTGCCTCTAGGATCCTGCCCTGACTTCCTTCAGTGGTGAGCAGCGGTGTGGAAGTGTAAACCCTTTCCTCCCAAGCCGCTTTGGTTACGGTGTTTCATCACAGCAATAATAACCCTAAGATAAGTATTATCATACAATTATATTGTTCATTTCTAAAAGTTAATACTTCTAATATTCTTTTTATTTTTTGGCCAGAATCTCTCACCATGTAGCCCTAGCTGGCTAGAACTCTAGTTCCAGGCCTTTCTCTGCCTCTCCAGTTCAGGGGTTAAAGGCATGCACCAACACAGCCAGCCCTTCTTAACGTTCTTGCTAATTAAAAATCATATTGACAAGTCTGATTCTGAAAATCAACTATGTCTTAAAAGAGATGACACTTGTTCTATGAAATCAAAAGATCTCGTAAACTTCCAAAATAAATTAATCTCAGGACTAGGACTTCAAGATAGAAAATTATTCTAATTTTATTTCTGTTAATGTGACAGACACTCCAACAAAAGCAACTTAGGGAAGAAACGGTTTGTGTTGTTACTGCAGTCCAAGTTAGTTGAGTACTGTGGGAAAGTTGAGGGAGAAACTTAAAAACATAGCATCTACAATTAAGAGCAGAGAAACAGGGCGGTGGTGGCACACACCTTTAATCCTTTAATCCCAGCACTTGGGAGGCAGAGGCAGGTGATTTCTGGGAGTTCAAGGCCAGCTGGTCTACAGAGAGAGTTCCAGAACAGCTGGGGCTACACAGAGAACCCTGTAATAGCAGAGAGGAAAACACAAGGATGCTTGCTTGCTCGCTCTGCTGCTGGCTTTCTCCTCTTACCCTGTTGAGGACCTCCTGCCTAAGGAATTTTGTTGCCCACAGTGGACTAGGTCTTCCTCCACCCTTTAATGATGGAAATAATCACTAACAGACATGCTCACAGGCCAAGCGATCTGAATCATTCAAACTCTTCTCAGGTAATTCCAGGTTCTTCCAGGTTAGTATTTAAACTAAGCAGCACAAGGACCTTATAAAGAAGTTTCAGAACAATACTCAATGACATTAACTTTTCTGATTTTCACAATATTATTGGGGGAAGTAGCACTGATTGTCGGATAACTCAGCAACAGAAGCAACTTTAAAGTGCTCACACTGCAGCTAAACAGTGTTACGATTCTTTTGAATGAGATTCTGAAAAACTCTAAGTATAAATCTACATCAAGGAACGACCAGCTATTTTTATAAAGGACTCAATCAATTCTAGTCAAAATAACTTAAGAATTTATCAAAGTGATCTCTAAAAATTTCAAGAACACACTCCAATTTAAAAAAACAAACAAACAAATCAGATTAAGCTGGGGGTGTAGTTCACTTGCGTGGCTCCTGCCAGACCCACGGTTTTTAACCTATGGGTCGCGGCGGCCCTGTCACAGGTGTTGCATCTTAGATATCCTGCATATCAGATATTTACATTATGATTTTTAACAGTATCAAAATTAGTTATTAAGTAGTAACAAGATAATTTTACGGTTAGGGTCACAACATGAGAACTGAATCAGGGAGGTTGAGAACCACTGTGCTCTCCCCTCTGTGCAAGCAGCACTTCTACAACAGGGAGTGAGCAGAGATTCTTCTTCAGCATCTTTCCAGGAATCTGAGCTGGTGTCGCACAGGTCTAGGAGTCTTTAAAAGTACCTCGGCACAGCACTGACAGACTTCCTGGGGAAGCGCCTTGACTTGCATCACTTTCTAAAAGGTGTTCCTTGGAAAAATTACTGAACCAGACTATGTCTTAATTCCCTCATGAGGAAAATGACGACGATGACAGCACCCAGCTAACAAGAATGCGGTATGCACTGGACAGTGTGACTGGAGTATAAAACAGAAACCAAACAAAGAGGCCAGGCTTGTGACCCCAACTATTTGGGAGGCTCATGAAAAGAGCTGCATAAATCGGCCCGGGCTACACACCAAATTCAAGGTGTGAACAATTTAGGAAGATCCTATCTCAAAATGAAAAACAAAAGTTTAAAGTCAGGAGCACTCACAAAAGCGGGAACCTGTGCAAAATCAGAATTCCCTTGGGAGGATGAAAGAGAGATATGTATGTGAGTTAAGTCATCAGGACTACTTAAAACAAAATAAAAATCATTTTTTTATCTTTTCCCCAATTTTAAAAAATTATTTAAGAATTTTACAACTCCTCTTAAGGTCCCTTTCCTATCATCCAACTTTGTCATTCATATTTTTGAGTTCTATCTGTTTAAATATTCTACACATTATGCTCTAAATAAAACCCCAAGAAACCATGCCAGTAACTACACTACACTATTACTTATTAGACAAGGTCCCAATTGTAGCCTTGGCTGGCCTTGAACTTAAAGGGATCTACCGGCCTCTGCCTACTTTGTGTCGTGATGAAAAGTATGCACCAACCACTCCCGACTTCCATATTATGGTTTTTACAAAACTTTTTGAGCTCTTTAAGTACAAAGGTAAAAGTATTGTCTCTTAATCCTAGTAAGTTACTTTTTGATAGATGTTTTATTCCATACTGTAGAAACTGCGGTGTAAATGTCTAGAAGACGGCATAGTAGGCTACTATTTTAACTACTATCCAAGCCATCAAAGAGAGCAAAATGGAATCTTTCACTCACCTTAGTCTAAGAGGACAATGGAAGTGACAGAGGAAAGGGCTAGGGATCCACCAGAACAGCCTAAGTAGAGTCGTGAAGTCGCTTCCCTTGATGGAACCGACAGGAACAGGGGAAACCACAGACAACGATCAAAAAGTAGGGAGGCAAAGGGGCCAGAGGCTCAGAGAGAAGCGGCTCTCACCGTGCGGATCCAAGGATGAGAACCAAACCGCCAGGGAAGGAAGGAAGGGACACCGAGGTCGATGGACGAGGACCGGACCGAGACGAGAGGCGAGGCGAGGGCAGGGTACCAGCACACTGACAGAGACCAGGTGCGAGAGCTCCAACCCCACCAAAACGCCCAGGGCAATGTCCGCACTTCCGGGAGGCTAGGCTGCTAACAGCCAATAGTACGTCGTGGAGCTGACAAAGCGGATGCGTCAGACAGGGGACGCGCAGAACCAGAACGTAACAGTGACGTACACAGAGCTCGCCGCCTGTCTGGAGTCGCGCTGTACTCTGCGCCTCCGGGATAGGGAAGATTGACACTATGGCCACCTGACTTGCTTCTGACCCCGGAAAAATCTCTCCTGGACTGCAGAGGGCTCGACAGCCATAGGAAAGGCTATGGCACATGTTCTTGGGCTCACATTTGCTCTTATTTTGGCTTTCACACATGAAATACGGGTCTTGAAATCATGACTCCCATGTTCCGGTCACCCTAGACGATGAGGTTCTGTACATGCCTGGCGATTTAGACCTTTACTGGAGGGGTAAACGTGGAGCACACTAAAAACTGGAATTGGGTTGTTTATAGCACTCAACCCAAGCTGCTGACCATTTTACACGCACTGGAACACTACTGCAGATTAGTGTTGGTATGACTAGATTTGGAACCCTCACACACTACGCTGCTGGCCGAAATACTTAAGTCTCCGTCAGGCAGAGGTAGGATGATCTATGATTTTAAAAGGCCAGCCTGGTCCATAGAGCGAGATCTAGGCCAGCCAGGGTAAACAGAAACCGTTTGGCAATGTCAAACACATTAAGTGAGGCTATCTTACAACTTGGGGATATAGCCAAGAGGAAAAACCAAACCGTGTACATAAGAGGTTTGCAGGAAACCACCACTGTTGCTGGAAAAACAAGCTGGTCAACAAAATAAAACTTATTTCATGTGCTGCATCACAGAAAACTAGGGACATTTCTTCTTCCATTATGTAAACCCTGGGTATTAACTCAGGTAGGTCAGGCTTGGTGGCTCCACCTTAATCATCCCTCCAGCTCAGTTCTTTAGGCAAGTCACAAACCTTGAATAAATGCTTTCAAAGGGCACCACACTAAGTGAATTTTTTAAAAAGTGCTAAACAGGCAAAAGCATACAGGAAATAGCTTAGGGGCGTAGCACTAACAGGTATCCAGTACCTTACAACCTTCTAAGCAAATGCATACCTTGGTAGTTTGTATCCCTAACAGATTTAAGCCCTGGCTACTTGGAAGGTCAAACCTGAATATACTGAACCCCCTGTAATTCCAGTTTATAAAGCTTTAGATTTATAAGTCTTCCATGTGCTTATATTGTATGGCTTCCCAAGGAGACAGTAAGAGGGTTATCAGAGGCCCTGGAGCTTAAGAGGTCATCGGGTCCTTTGCAGGAACAGAAACTGCTGACCCTTCTCTCTAGCCTAAAAAAAATTTTTTTTACATCCCTGTTTGTGCTGTCCTCAGAGGCCAGTCAAGAGTATTGAAAACTACTTAATGATATGGTCCCTCCCAAGTCAGTTAAGACTTTAATCATGCCTTAGATGGGCAGTACACATGTACTCTAAATATTTTCTAAAATTCACATACTTTTATAGCTTAATATTTTGGTATTGCCCCTTCTAACAACTCAACCATTCTAAGCAGAATATTATAGCTCAACTAGGATCCACTGTAAAGATGTCCTTCCCCCTGAAGGCAGATTTATCACACACCCAAGATCTTTACAACAGTCTTCCAATGGAAGCTCTCCAGTAAATGCTAAACCAAAGTAGTAATTTTCCTATGGCCTAGTTGCTTTCCAATAGCCTGTTTCATTGCTTTATCACTTTAATAAGTTGCTTTCCAATAGCCTGTTTCATTGCTTTATCACTTTAATAATAAACCTTTCATAAGGTTCAATACACCCCTCCCAACAAGATTTATCTTGCAGGATTGCTTAACAGGCAATCTGTAACAATGCATATATATGAACGACCAGAAGACCTTTACTTTTATCTGCATTTATTTCATGTTGAATTTATTCCCGTGCCATAAGTTTTTGTTTCTTCAGTTTCTTCTGGGATATCTGAGAAGACAATGAAAAGAATCATTTTTTTTCAATTAGCATTAATTCTTAAAAGGACTCAAATTCACATCTCAGGAAAGGTAGGAAAAGCTCAACTGGTAAACATCAGAAGGCGGTTCTCAGTTTGCTTACTCCCTCTTAAAGCCCATCAGGGAAAAAAAAAACAATTCTATGGTTGGGGGTCAGCACAACAAGACTTCTGAAGAGTCACTGCATTAGGAAGGTTAAGAAGCATTGTTAGAGGGTTAGGACATAAGAGCCAAAAGTAAAATTATTTAGTTGTAAAGAGGAAGTGTTGTAGTGCAATAGCTAATCAGATCTAGTGTGACTACAGGTAACTCCCAGAAAAGCCACATTAAGTGGGTAAGAGGGCTGGTCAGAATAGGCTCCTTTCATGGTTATTACAAAGGTGCCTGTGTCTTTTAAAAATAAAACTGAATGGCTCACCTTTTTCTTCTGTGCAACCTCCTCTTCTGGCTTTGGAACAATCTGTTCCTTTTCAGTGAGGATCATCTCGATGTGGCAGGGGGAGCTCATGTATGGGTTAATCCGGCCATGAGCTCTGTAAGTTCGTCGGCGCATCTTAGGTGCTTTGTTCACCTGGATGTGCTCAATGACCAGAGAGTCCACATCTAAACCCTGGAGAGGGGAGAGCGAAAAAAATCAGACTAACATCTGTTTTGAGAAAAAGCTTCCAACCTCTAACTGGGATGATCTTGATCATTTGCTCCCTGTTTGGAGGCCTGAGTGCAGTGTCACACTGTGTTAGGTAGGCTCCTCTCAGAGCCCATGTTATTATACCAGAGATGGCTGCAAGCGATACACCAGATAGTGTCTAGCCTTCTGTCCTCCTACAGCACAAACTATTTTTATTTTAAAAGTTATACAGCCTCAGTACAAAAATCAAGTTTTCAAATGCAAAAGTAATGGCTACATCCCACCTCTAGATAGCTGAAACATCAAATACACAACATTCTCACTGTGCTTCTGAGCACCTCTAGGGAAATTGTCACAACAGAGGTGCAAGACAAAAGCAGCGTTTAACCCCCCCCCATAAAGAAACAAAGACATGTACATCCATTCCCATCACGTCACAATTATTGAATAGGATACCGAGCAAGTAACCGCACAACACACAAAGGACACCAAGGACCCGGTTACCTTCAGTTCAGCATTGCTCTCTGCATTCTTCAGCATGTGCAGCAAAAATTCTGCACTCTTTTTTGGCCACCGACCCTGTGTCCAGCCCCACTGTTTGGCCTGAAAGAAAAAAGGCAAACAGCTTCTTATTTTCCTTGGTAAGCAAGCACTGGACCCAGTTAGGAACATCTAGCCAACACCAAGGCTGCTCAGAACATGTTTTATTTCACGGTTAATCCAAAGGTGTCCTAAGATTGTCATCACAGCAACCAGACCAGTTAAGGAGACTTCAGCCCTTCCTCATCCCCCACCATCAAATCCATTTCTCACCTGGGCGCACCTACCAACTCCACCATTGTACCGTCGGAATGGCACACACTGCTTCTTCAAAGTGACATCTTTCAGATACTTGGTGGCTTTTCGGATATGCATACCCTTGATGGCCTGGGCCGTTTCACGGGTGTTCTAATTAAAACAAGCCAGAAAATTTTGGTTAATAATGTCGATCCACTGAAATTTTGAGAACTAGGGGACGAAATCACCATATATTACCTAAGCTCCATTACCCCATAATTAGTCCCATATTTCACAATATTTCCTCAAGCATTCACACCCCAATGACCAACTCATAAAAAAAGGAAGCTGCTCAGAATGTGTTTGTTTTCATGGTAAATCCAAAGGTGTCCTAAGAACGTCATCACCGCAGCGACCTTGTAAAGACATGCAGGAGCAAATCACAATTCTGTATCAGGACCATGGGGTTTCCTTACCTTAAAGTGAACCCGAAGGTTTGATCCTCTCGATTTGCATGCTACAAAAAAAAGCAAAAGGAAAAAAAGTCAGTCTCTGTTGCATTACCCATACACAACAAAAACAAATCGACAGAGTCGTGTCGGAACTTACATTTTGTAGGGTTTTCTGGGTCAAGAGAGTAGCGAACCATCTTCACGGATCACCTGGGAACAGAACGTTACCGTCAGCCACTAACCAACACGTCTAAACCCTGAGTCGATAGATACTGCCATCGACTGCTCAGAGGAGAGCTATTTTCACGGTCAATCCAAAGGTGTCCTAAGAAATGACATCATCGCAGCCATCTTCTCCTTGCCGGTTTAACGCAGACCTACCGGCCGGCAGCTTTAATCAAACTGGCGGCCCGAGGCCGTGCACCATCACCCGCAGACCGTCTCCCCCATCGCCCAGACCTCGCGACCTCCCCACGCACCCACGCCACGAGCCGCCCAGGGTGCAGCCCTGAGCTTAGATGAACGTGGGCTCCCACCCGGCGCCCTCCTCGGCCGGCACTCACCGCGGGGCCCGGGCCCGGCCTCGGGCGCCCTGCTCGGCTCACCCCGTGCCTCCGCCGGCCGCGCCGCCCTCACCCCACGCCCGCCCCGCGGCCTGCCGAAGCCCGGGTCCGACGCGCGGCCGAGCCCCTCCGCAAGGAGCGCGGCCGCCTGTGGCGAGGACCCATGGTCCTGGGGAGCTCGGAGCCCTGGGGCCGCGATGCCGGCTCCCCCGACACTACGACGGCGGCGATGGCGAAGGATTCGCCCGAGAGCCCGACGCCGAGTAACGCTCACCTCTGGCCGCTTACAGGAAGAGGAAGTACAGGGCTACTGGGAGAATTCATGAGACCTCGACCTCTCGCGAGACTTCCGGCGCAAGCACGAGATCCGAGGAGAGGGCGGGCTGAGAAGAAAGGGAATGTGTGATGTTTTGGGGATGTCAGAAAAGAAATGCAACTTTAGAGAGTGTCTCAAAATTCTCCTTTTTTTTTTAAATTTCAAAAACAATATTTATGGCTTTTACGTATCAGTGAATAAAAACAGTCCTGAAGCATAGGACACAAATTACTGGGAATGATCTAGAAATCTAGCTATTTTAATTGTTTGATTTGATTTGTCAACATGGACCCTCTGAAAGGC